GGACGGACGGACAGACACACGGACATGGCAAGCACAATAGTGCATTTTTTCTAAGTGAGAAAATGCGCTAAAAAGGGCTTCGTTACTCGATAGGTATGGTCTTTACGAATCGAATGGTATACATATGTCTCATCGCTGTAGCTTCAAAACTCTAGAAGGAGATAGGTTTGCCGTGACAATAAGTGTGAATGTTGAGGAGAGCGCGATAAAGTCCCGAGCGCATCGCAATAGGCACTCAATGTAGCAAGGATACAAAACTAAACTTTATAGGAGAGTGATTCCAGTCAAGGATGGTGGGAGCAACTGCTTGCACACCTCCTCATACGACGCCAGGGGGGTAACTAAGATGCACCTCAAGCCGACACTCTATTTAAAGTGCTCGCAGCGAATTTCCTCCTATTCTATTTGTTAAAGAATTCCCCCACCCCCTCCTCTTCATGATCTGTCGTGAACGCATAAATCAACGTACAGAGATGGTAATGGTACCATTGGATAGGGCAGAATGTCAGCTTTAAGATGAGACTAAAAACCGGAGAAGCAAAATCCGAAAACTTTAGGGTAGACGCCCCCCTTAAGTTGTTACCAGTTACCACTTTTAGGTATTTTTTCATGTTTCAGTTTGCTTACAGTTATTTTTACAGTTCGGACAGAAACTGCCGCAAGCGCGCGCTCGTGAGTGTGCAAAAATGTTGGTACCACATGAGCTATGAAGATACAGTATTGAATTGCACTCTTAAATTTTAAAATATGACATGAAATAATATGGTTATTGTGGAGGCAAATTATTGTGAGTGACTGAAAATCTTAATATATGGGTCGTGATATTGGATTATTAATTACTTACATTGATTGAGATGATTACATGAATATTTCACTGGGGTTGAGAACTTGAGATAAAGCTATTAGAGGTGAGTGCAGGTGAGGTATATTTATATGTATATGTGGATAATTTTTGAGATTGGTAGATTAAAGTAGACATCCATGTAGGGAAGGTAAAACATAAAAATAACTGTAACTTTTATTTACTGTATCTAACCCGTACTAGTTCGGTTAGGTTAATTGCAATAAAGTTGCATTGAAATGTTTTGAAAATGTTTTATTATCGTTAAATGTTTATGAGTGTATCCCAATAGCAGAACAATAAATATTTAGAGATTTCCAATAATTTTGACCATTGTAGCGGCTAATGTAGCGGCGCTACATTTTACTGTAGCGGTAGCGCTCGCTACAATCTAGTGGGTGTAGCGGTAGCGGTAGCGCCCGCTACATTTACAGCATGTAGCGGTAGCGGTAGCGGCGCTACATTTCAAAGTAGCGCTGCCCAGCTCTGATTTAGAGGAATGGGATATAGGAATAGTAAAATAATATTTTCGCTTTATTTCATCCGTTTTTTCTATTTCATGCTGCCGATTTTTTAGCAACAAGAGGTAAGTGGTGTGAGTAGAATTTACAGTGGATAAAAAATTTAATTATATACAAATCGGTTAGGTTGCAACTGCTCCTTCTGATAAGTATTTAAATTTCCTTTTTATAATTACGATTTTTATTTAATTCTTATTCGAGTAACTCAAAATTTTTCGTACCGGAATATCTCTAGGGACTTTTTAGGCATAGATTTCCTGGCTATGATTAAATAAATTATTTTTCGTCGTGAAAATTTATCTCTCGTTTCATGTCAAATAAATTCGTGAATTATAAGAAAAAATTTGCTTTCGAACAAGAATATACTTTTTCTCGGTGCATCATTAGCTCAATATCCCGACAATTTGGTGCTTTAAGTCCTACAACAATTCGGAAACAAATGATTGGTCCTACACGAATTCAAAGAACAAAAGTGAGTCCTACAAAAATTCGCTCAAAAACTCCTTTTTAAAGGTTTTTCAAGGAAAGTAAAATTTTTTACTTAATATCGTGTTTCCGATTACTTGTTCAAAACTCAGACAGAAAAGGTACTCATCGCCACCGTCTGGAGGGGGGGCAGGGGGTTACCGCAAGCTGATATTTCTGGTTTCAGTTTTAATTTGCGTTGCGAACTTCCATATTTAATCAAAATTCCTCATAATTTTTTCGGAAGCAAACATTGAACGCAATATAGACGTTCGCTTCTAATACGTAGGCGGGAATAAAATTACGAATGATTAAAACAATTCCTGAATCATGTAGAGCAGAACATGTGTTGAAATCGAGCTTTTCTTAGTTATCACGCAGCTGTTGAAGTATTCATCACGGCCGTCAAAAGAGTCTTGCAGTATTACGCGTCTCGGTCGGATTGAAAAAATCGCTGTCAGCAAAATTCATTTTACCGCGGTGCAGCTGGGCTTGAGCAATGTAGCTGTTGAAAAACTCCATGTTTGCGTCCAAGAAGAGGAATTTATCGCTCTGGCAACTTGATAAGAGGCGTAAGGGGCCGTGCTGGTAGAGCCTTATTGAATTTCTCCAGCACTTTGCAGTGCGGCCGTTCGCCACTATTTTGCTGCACATGAGGTCACCACCTTTAACCGCGCAAAATGAGGTCTATTCACCACTTTTCTCAAAGCATAGAGCATATTTATGCTATATTTTTACTAATTAAGGGACTTTAGTTGTCGATTTTATGTTGCGAAGAAAAAACAAATAGACGGGCACTTTTTCTATCATCAATCGCATCCTAATTATTGCTTTCAATCGAACGGAGAAAACCGGAAACCTTGAGTTTATTAACTTATATGGGCTTATGATCTCAATTTAGTTTCAGTTCATCATCTGCAAAGCCTGAAAATTTATTTAGTAAAGGACTCTGTGGCAGATTTATTCGGTGTTGCTCGTCTCTATTTCTGCCATGGTTATTATATAGCCCGCAACCGCGACATTTCTGTCACCCGACCTGATGAATGCCAACGAGTGACCTGCCTATTACTCTTCTAATGGCACATGTTGTGAAGTTACATATAAAATTTATCCATATATCGCCTTAAATCTTATGTTGTAAATAATGTGCCTCAAAGTTTGGTCCATCATTTACTGAATTTGGTTTGTTATTACACGCAACAACCCTCATGGTATCCTCGATACTCAGGGCTAAGATCAACCCATTTTTGTAAACAGATCTTCAAGCGCCCGACCGCCTTATTTACTTACTTGATACATTTCAATTTCATTTTTTTCATTCACGAAAATAGTTTATGGCCCACCACAAACTGGCACCATAATAACAAAATATGCGTCCTTTCAGTAAACAAATGCACTGAACCTATATGTAATGGCTATAGCCTGAGGTCGAGATTCGTTAACATTTGGCGTCATGAGAGTATCCCGAGTATTCAAATATTTTTAAATGCTTGTCATTTCCAAAGCAAGTGAGTGTAGCAGCGTGGAATATTTCACAACAATTTTTAGCGCTTTCAAATTGCAATTTGTCCAGAAGACACCAAATATTTTCCGAAAAATCTCTATTTCTCCGATGATTCCGATTATTCCAGCGTTCTCTTAGAGCCAGCCAGCCCACCCAGTGCATTAGTTTTCTTGTGATAGCCTTTGTTCTTTCTCGACCATTACCTCTGGCGCAGGTCTTTGTTTGCCCCTTGGTTTTTATGGTGCAGTCTAATAGTCTTTATGACTGGGCAGATAAGGACACCGTTGTCAAAGTTGCGTTTTCTTCTCGTTTTTGCGCTGTTGATAGCTACACCATCGGCATGTTTTACAGGAAGCATCACGATGTGCTATGACCTTTACATACATGAGTATAAAAGAAAACGGTTTTTGCTGGGCGTCAAAAACAAATTTTTTGCCATTGTAATTATTTTTTTTAATATATCGTTGCTTCCTAGAGGAGGTGTTGATTTCGTATGATGAGTGTCTACGCAGAAATACGCAGAGTTCCAGAAGTGACTCTTGATTGAACATCTCATGGCAGCAGGTATTACACAGAGTTCTCTGCGTGATCTTCTTGTGGCAGATACTCTGTGCAGATACTCTTCTTGTGGCAGATACAAGGGGCCGAGCAATCAAAACCCGCTCAGGGTTTTTTTTGACAATAGCGCACCTATTTTGACAATAGCGCACCTATTTTTCGACAATAGCGCACCTATTTTGCCAATGAGGACCACTGACGGCAGATGTTACGCCGAGGAGCCGCTGGACGGCACTGAGGTGTCGCTGATACTGGAGGGCGTGGAGCAGCAGGACGCGGGGGCCTACACATGCCACGCTACCATCAACGGCCGCACCACCACACGCAGCTTCCTCCTACACGTCCACAGTAACGTGCCGTCTTGTCTAGGCTCACTTTCTGGAATTACTCTTTTTGAAGGGGATTTTTAATGTTTATTTTTGACATGGATGTTAACAGCTGGTAACGTGGCTGTCTTGTCTAGGCTCACATTCTCGAACTAAGGTTCTTGAAAGGGAATTTTAACGTTGATTTTGACCTGGATGTCAACAGCTAGCAACGTGGCTGTCTTGTCTAGGCTGACATCCATGAAATACTGTTTTTGAAAGGGGATTTTTAACGTTGATGTTGACCTGGATTTTAACAGTTAGGAACATGGCTGTCTTGTCTAGGCTGACATTCTGGAATTAACTTTCTGAAAGGGCTTTTTAACGTTGATTTTTTATATGGATGTCAAGAGACGTGGCTGACTTTTGTAGCCGAACATTCTTAAATTAAGGTTTTTCTCTAGTGACTCATAATATTTAAGGCAGTGTCCTGGTTCTTTAGTCTGGGATAATAAGTTTTTTCGCCTAAACTAGAGTTTAATGTAATTAAGCTTTCTTAATGTGGTTGACGCTTATGGGATTGGGTAGCAGAATAATTGAACTTTCAAATTTCAAGTGTTATCTACCTCGAGATACCCCACGCTGAGCTCTAAAAAGTTGGTAGTTAATCCACTTCAATTAATGAATATTTCATCCAGAGACCGTAGAGTTCACCGGCACACCGCAGCACCAGACGCTGTCGGTCGGCGCCGCGTCGTCCCTGCGCTGTTTCACTCACCAGATGGCGAGTGAAGTCTGGTGCGATAATGACAGGTGAGTGTAGAGGTGATTGCTGGTGCTCATTGAGGTGGCTCCTGGTGACTGTTGTGATAGCTACTGGTGACTGTTGAGGTGACTTTTTTCACCTCGATTAAGACCGTAATTCATTTTTACAACACTTCTCTTTCTTTAACTTCACTTCTTGTTTGTTTGTTTGTCTGCTACAAATCTTATAATCGATATTTAACACACTTCTACCTCTCCAATCGATCCGAAATTTTGCACACTTGTGAAAAGTTGGAGACAGTGGATGTATCAATTGAGAGAATAAATGATTTTGAAAAATTTAAACAAATTTTCAAATTTTAAAAATAATAGTTAAAATTAATTTTTTAATATATGGTAATATATGGTAAAATTAGAAATTCATTGTACTGTGCAACATCGGAGACACTGGATTCTTTAGAAGTGTTGTCTCCAAAGAGTAATTTTTAAACGCTTATTATTATGATTCGCCATGCAAGAATTCATCTGAAAGTTTCAATTCGTGTTAATATCAAAACTACAAGGCAATCAAAACTATTCGATGTTCGTTTGATCTTAGCGAACCAAATTTCATCCTTTTATTTATTTGTAAAACTGCATCGCGATTGTAATAATTAAATATGTTATCACGGAAATAATCTTATTTTCCTGATAATGTTACCTCTGAAATAATGTTTCCTCAGAAAACATAAATTCGTATAATCTTTATCACAATAATGTTATATCTCAGATGACATATTATTCCATTTAAATACCGTGTCGATGTTTTTTTTCGCAGATTCGGATAAGTACGTGAGAGCGGGCCACATTCTTCACGTGTACAACGTGACACGTTCAGATGCTGGGATCTACACGTGTCACTCGAGGCAGATCTCACCTCGTATGTCACACGTGGACTCGTTCAAGATCAACGTAACGGTCCTGCGTAAGTTACGAGATTTTTTCTTTGCTGGTCGAACTCTGCTTTGGTTGACTTTTCATTGATTTCTTGTGCTTGTTTTCTATGTTATTTATCTAATTTTGTTAATATTCTTTACGAGATTTTTTTTTGCTGGGCGAATTCCGCATAGGTTGACTTCTCATTGGTTTCTTGTGCTTGTTTTATTTTTTCAAATGTTATTTATCTTCTTTTGTTAGTATTCTTCATGCACATATGACGGGATGCTTATTTCGTGGTATATTTTTTTTTGTTTACCTCTACGTTCTATTATTCTTGTGCTTAGATTAGTGACTAGTCAATTGTTGGTAACATTTATTTTGTGACCGTAATATGGAATCTCGTCTAGCTGTGGTGTTTGTAGGATTTAGTTAGTGTCTTGGGACGAGACAAGGTGTAGCTCCAACGTGATTGGTTGAGCTGCTCCTAACCTCGTTATAACGCGCGCTTGGTAGTCTTGAACGATGGAGAGTTTGATCTCTTTGGAATTAGTTTAAGATTATTAGATTTTTAACTGTGATTAGATTGCCAAATGATTACAAATATGTTGATTTTATTGTATTATATTATATTATATATTTTTTTGCACTTAGGAAGTGTTTACAGTCTGTTTTGTACATTGTAAACGGGGTGTTGAGGTAAGCTCATTTTAGCTGAGTTACCCCCTCGTTGTGTGCGCTCGGAAGTTGTGTGTGCTCAGTGGTGCTGGGTTGGGGTGACACGGTTTCGACTCGAATCAGGCAGAGCCAAATTTGGGCTTCCAAGAATAAACTCCACCGCAGTTCTGGGTATAACTTTTAATGAGTTCCTCTAACGGAGTAATAACGGCGTAGTTGGAGTTCTTGGATAGTTCCAGGTTTTTGCTGCGTTGGGCGGTTAACAGCCGTTCAATTCGCACCATCGAGGTAGAGGCTAATAACCTCTGCGCTCGAGTAAATTGACAGCGGCTTATTGGGGGCTAGTACCCTCCAATAGTCGTGCTTTTGAGGCGTAACTGCCACCTCGGTTCTGTGTTCTGGGCAGTGCTTTATGGCTCGAACCCCTGATCATTGCGTTGGTTGCCGGCATTGTGGTGCGGCTCGTACCCGTATCCTTGCTGTCCACTCCTGTAAGACCGTCAGTTTTGTGGTGCGGCTCGTGCCCGTATCCTTGCTGTCCACTCGTGTGAGGTTGTCAGTTTTGTGGTACGGCTCGTACCCGTATCTTTGCTGTCCACTCCTGTAAGGTTGTCAGTTTTGTGGTACGGCTCGTACCCGTATCCTTGCTGTCCACTCCTGTAAGGTCGTCAGTTTTGTGGTGCGGCTCGTACCCGTACCCTTGCTGTCCACTCCTGTAAGGTCGTCAGTTTTGTGGTGCGGCTCGTACCCGTATCCTTGCTGTCCACTCCTGTGAGGTCGTCAGTTTTGTGGTGCGGCTCGTACCCGTATCCTTGCTGTCCGCTTCTGTGGCTGTGTGGCAAGTCACCGTCAAGTCGGCACGCTACACGAAACTATTTCGACTTCGCGGCGGTGTTTCCGGTTACACATATAATATCCATAAAAAATTTGCAATACTAATTGGATTTTTGTCGAGTAAGTTACTCACACATGCCGAGATTATTGTTATGTGCTGGACGAAGTCTGCATTAGTTGACTTTTCATTGGCTTCTAGTACTTGTTTTATTTGTTATTTATCTACTTTTATTAGTATTTTTAATGCATATAACATCCGTTGAAATAATATTTTTAATTTTTAATTGGATTTTTGTCCATATCAAGCCATCGAATGTCTGTACAGGTGACGCGCATATTACGCTTTGCAATGCTCCTTATATACTTTATATCTCAAATAACTTTATATTTATTATTGACTGCTTTGATGGGACTGCGTGTGTTAAATTTTTTATTGTCGTTGTAAGATCATCGTATATTGCCTGATGGGATTTCCGTCTCTTTAATGCGTCATCGTAGTCGTGAGGTTTTTACATGTAGCCTTGAAGTTCTTAGAACAGCGCTGGCAGCTGCAGTGAACTTGAACTTTGATCATCAGCTGCCGATTGCCTTATAAAATAAAATTTTTTTGTCATTTTTCCTTACTTTTTTAAATATAAGAGAACCGTTCAAGTTCATTTTAACTCGGATGCGAATAAGATTGTGGTTCAGGTTTATATTTATTAAATTTTGTGACATGAGTAAACGTCATCGGTCATTTGATTGTAGTATTGGATGTCATCCGTCATATTTGCTTCTCTTTTTTTTTCTTTTCTTCCGCTTCTTTTCTCTCTACCTTCAAATTCCTCGTTTATTAAAACGAGGACAACATTTTCTGTACGATCCTGTTGATTTAATAGTTTTATTATCATCAGATCCACCACAGTTCACGATCGCGAACGACTCAGAACATTTTGGCTTCGTGCAAGGAGTGGCAAACTTGAGCTGTTCAGTCGACGCAGATCCGACCGCTAATTTCACGTGGTATAAGGACGGCCAAGAGCTAAGAGCTAAGCTTATTTTTGAGGAAAAAGAATCAGATGACTACAGTTGGCTTCTGAAAACCAGACAAACTCTAGACCGTGTCAGTAGCATTGGACATCGTCACAGCCGTGCTGCAGAACGTCCAAACGGGCCGTTATTGCAGCTTCACCAGGTAGAACAACGGCACGATCGTTCTAAAGAACACCCAACGGATGACCGTTATACCTGTCTCTTATACACATCTAGATGTGTATAAGAGACAGNCAACCAGATGTTGGCGGTTTACGATAAGACGTTGACTGTATACGATCAACCGCTTATTAATCTACAAATTATTATTCTGGAGAATTGGGATGATAGTAGGAAAAAATGGCATGGATAATCGCAGCTGAACAATTGCCAGATATCGCCTTGGTTAATTATGATCATAAAACGATTTTGGATAAAGCTACATTCTGCCAAACTCTACGGATTTGAATCTTTATGTTTAAGTATATCATCCTGAATTCACCTAAGTTTGAAATTTCAAATCATCCATTATAAATTTACTGCACTATTTGTTAATTAATATTAATATTATTACTGCCAAGAATAATATTCTCCGGATAGTATGGCAGATGAACTATCACATGAATCTTTCACTAAGTATGGTAATACTTCGCAATTTTATCACATGCACTCAAAATTGCACAATATTTTGGGCGTTGATTTCACTTCACCATACCAATTAAAAAATTGGTGTAGCTTTTCCTAATTTCTCTCAAATATTCAAATATTAATTGTTATGTTTCAGATCGTGTCTCAGGACAGCCACAGCATCGCGCTGTCTCTGCGTGTCGGGGACCAAGTCTCTGACGAGGGCCAGCACATCACAGGCTATGCGGTGCTTTATAAGAAGGGTGGCGACAAAAGCAGCCTTATGCATCACTTCCATAAAGGCAAGAGTATTATAAATCATGTTTTTTCTAAAATTTTAGGATATAATCGTGATATGTTTTATTAATCGAACCTAAAATATATGCTCAGTTAATAAATGATATTCACTACCATGAATGTCGCTGTCTTTTTATTGCGTATTTTGTGCCCTCGCCTCCGAAATCTTATGATCCTCCCACACCTTCAGTCCTCGAATTCTATATTAAACTACGCAAACAATTGAATCCTTCAATCGAAAGTTCGTTTTATTCTCATCATTACACGAATAAATTTATATTTTTCAATTTAAAAATACAATTTGTCTATTATCCTAATATACCGACGGTTGAACAAATGTTTTTCGCCCAACTTGCAGACGGACCTTTCATCCTAACCGACCTGCAGCCTGCGACCGTGTACGTACTGCAGGCTGCTAGCCGAAACATAGCCGGGATGTCGCCATATTCAGAGCAGATCGTGCGCCGAACAGACAACCTCACCACGGCCAGAGTTGCGGCCGTAAGCGCTGCTTCCAACGGCCAGTTATATCATGTGTTGTTATTGCTCGCTTTTTATGCCAAACTTAGATAAAATTATGTTTACAAATTTTTTAAAATCACTGAGAATAAAGAAGGTGTTTATATTATTAAAATACAGCATCACCACCGCCAGAGTGACCGCCGTCATCGCCATTTCTAAAGGCAGGTTCAACCATCTGTTGTTATTGCGTTCGCTCTTCATGCAAACTTCGATAAAATTACTTCTACACTTTTATACTGAAATTCGCTTTTGTGTATAAAGAATATAAGATAAAATTAAAATATGCACTCAATCGTTCGACTGACGAGATTAAATGCTTAACAGGATTTGATATAACCAAGTATTAATTCAATATGGGAATGAGACGAGCAAAAGAAAAATTTGATGATTTTTCTCTGATTGACGACTTGAACGATATCCTACAAAACGAAAAATGAGTTGTGAAAAAAAATTATAATAAACTTTCTACATGCCTATTATTTTGAAGTGTGAATAATGAACTTCATCATCGATATTGTTAGTACCAGGTTCACTGTCATTTATTGGCCTATATAAAGACGAACTATATTGACAATGGTAGCTTATTGTTGACAGAAAATAAAGGATCCTAAAGGTTTAAAGAAATATTGATCAAATGGTCTAGAGAAATTAAGATGGAAATATTCGAAAAAATTATTATTCAAATATTTTTAAAAGTTGAGATAGAAACGTTTTAGAAATTTAATTCGTTTCGAAATTAGTAATTAATTAATAGTTATCATAATTGGTTTCATTATATATATTGAAACGTAAAAATTTGTAGAATACTCTTTTTTACTAGTTTCTAATCCTATAATTTGGCTATATTCTTTGAATATGGCAAGTTTTTGGGACCATGTTATCTAACCTTAATTTAAAAATAATTACAATGTTATTTATTAATCTCTAACTCTAATAACAATGGAATTGCATTCATGTCAAATAACCTTGATTTGTAAATAATCAAAATATTATTTATCAATCTCTACCTATAATAACTATCGAATGGCATTCAGGTCCAATTATTAATTATTTTTAATTTTCAAAAAAAAAATAACTTTCTTACTAATTTTATAGCAGTGTTTTTTTCTGTGTTTAACAAATTTTATTCTCTGTGCAAAAATTAATTTTGAAATTGCAGCTTCTCCACATAAGTTTCTTTCGTTGTATTGTTTTCTTCTTGACAAAAATCTCTGTACTTCTGTTTGTAGTGTTCAGTATGTTCAGGTGAAGGTTTTTTCACGGGAATCTTCTGCTTGCGGGCGCATTATTTCGACTCTAAAATGCATCGCCGCGCATTACCTGGACCGAAACTTTCGGTCAAGTTGAAATCTTTCCATGTGCCAGGCGAATTTTTTCAGGCTTCACGTAATTAAAAGATCGGCGAGACTTTTTCCCCCGTAGTATTAGACCGGCCGTTATTTTCCTGCGCCAAACTCTAGCACCTGCTGAAATGGAGGAGAAAAACCGGAGAAATGACCAGAAATTCCTGTATATTTTCGTAAAATCCTAAAATTATTTCTTCAAATTTGAGGCACGTCATTATGTAAACAATCCAAATTAATTCTTTATATAAATTTACCATTTCCTGATTCAATACAACCTCCATTTCAGCAGTTTGCTGATCAGGAATTATTAATTAATTGAACAAATGTTCGCTTTGATCAATTCATTTGCCCCAGAAAGCAGTTCTAATCAAAATATTTTTTCAAATTCTGAAATTTCGATTTGGCTTCAAACACGTAATCAATTCGCGCAGGCTTCTTGTTCAGCTCCGCTGGCATCAAAGCAATCGAATTAAAATTGAGAAAATTTTCACAAAAATAATCAGGAAGTCGGGGAATGCAATCAGCGTCTCGATTTTTAGTTCAATTGCTAAAACATTTTCGCTGTTAGCAGTTGGATTACAAGTTGTTATTCTCGTTCATTAGCTTCAATTGGAATATGAAACAATATCTGGTATTTATAAGTAAACCCAAAATACACATTAAATATCATCAAATTTTTCCGACATTGCTTTTGCTGTCAAATATTCGTCAACATAAAAGTGCTGTAGGATATTATTGCGATGTTTTATGAAGTTATGAACTAAAAGCAATAAAACTGTCATTTGCTGAAATGATGTGGATTAAAATCGTACCCAGAAAGATATCTAAAAAATGAATTTATGAAATACTAGATATTGTGAATGAGTTATTGAATGTGCCAAATTAAAAAAAATTAGAAGAGTTGAACTGAAGAAAGTTTTGAAGAGATGAACTGAAGAAAGTTGTTCTGTTCTCTTTCCCAACGCCATACTTGAATGTATTTTGGACCACCAAATTTGAACAGTCATTTCATTTCATAATCTCGAGCTTCAGTGTTGGTGACGCCCAAATAATTAATATAAAAATAACAGCCGATAGAATTAAAGTTTTTCCATTCTGGCTCGCACATATAACTTCGAATTTGTGTCTTTTAGAAAAATTCTGGCCTAGATCAAAAGACGTGCAAACTTATCAGTTGATAATCTCTTTTTGTACTTTTTTTGCAACTCTAGCATTTTATTTCCAGTTTCTCATTTTTGTTCATGCGATTTTGGTTCAGCTAAAGCTATTATGTTTTTATCGAATGGATTTCTCCTGCAAAAATGCCCTGAAAATTTATTAAATACAAATTTAACTAATGAATATTGAAGCCATGCCTCTCAAATGTCGCCAACTTATTCAATCTGAACTTTTCTTAATGCTTCAGAGCTTTCATTTCAAGAGTTAATATTTTACGATCCCACGTGTCGTAAAACTCCACGAATTTCTTCAAGTCGTGGCAATTATGAAAAAAATGCGACTGCGGCTCGCGCAGCTATTCATAATGACTAATTATTTCGTCTATATTTCATGCTATTCCACGCAAAATAATAAAAATATTCTAAAAAATATTCCACGAGTGGTGAGAAAATATTTTACCATCCGTTCGTGGTCCGTACAGATCATATTTCACCACGTGTGTCATGTCAATGCTGTAATACTGGAAAATTGTGGCAGTTTCGTTTTTGATATATCGTGATTTTGAATATAGCCATTTTATACGCTTATGGATATTGAGACATTTTCAGTGAATGTAATGATGCTTTGATTTTATAATCAGTTTTCAAATACGTTTAGATTGTATCAGCGATTTATATTTCGTATTTTGGGGCTTATTTAACGCGGCTACGAGTTAACCTTTGGTCTTGCCTATGTCAGTCAACAATATAATCACCGAGCATATGTTTAGAATCTTAATTTCGTCCTATATTTTCTAATTAAATTTTAAAGTCTTTATTATTAGTCTTTTTAGGGTCCTAAGTATGTAACGGTAAATCTGTTGATGGTACCTCTTTATAGTTGTTAGCTCTATGAGGATGTAGGATACTTAAGAGTTTATAAAATTTTATGGGTTTAATCCTCATTCCATTCGTCTAGTGGTTAAGCTTATAAAAATAGTTTAAGATATTATTTATATATTTTAAAGAAGATTATGTTCATTGGTCGACACATGAATTTTCCTGTTTCCTTTGAGGTATTGTATCATCAGTTGCTTTAGAAAGAGCATTTATTGTTATATGTTAAAATTATATTGAATTCCGAATTTTTTTTCTCCACCCTGATTTTTAGTGCGCTTGGATTATGTATTCATTGATATGCTAACGAAAATTCAAAAACCTTGTGTTTTTCTATTTGTACACGATAATATATAGGGATATATCGGATATATTCCCTTCAGTTGAGTCTGTTTCATTATGTCTACAGACAGCTCTAATTTGGCATGTTATTCGATCATAAATCTTGATTTCTACCCTATCAAAATTTTTAGTTAGTGGCGACCCTGAATTAGGAACCGCCTAGGACTCGGACCGAACGTAAATCCGCTTCTCTATGTCCGCTTTTTGGTCTACATTCCGGTCCCCGAATCAGACAGCTACCAGAGCCTGGTGAGGGGACTGAGGGGATTCTGCCAACTCTTGCCCTACTCTCAGGAGACCATAAATTCGGCCAGGAGGTTCTGACTAGTCGCTGATTGCGATCAGTTGGCCAACTGACCCAGAATAACTCTAACGCGAACATAGCAACTCTGGGGCAGAGGCTGAAGCATACCCCGAATTTTGTTAAGGTACATATGAAAGATTAACTTTGTAGACTGACATGCCACGCCAGTTTAACATGCTGTCCTGGTTAACATGCCAAGCAATGTTAACATGCTAAACAGTTAAAACTGCTAAGCAGAGTTCTCCTGCTAAATAGGTTGATCTGTTACGTTGGGTTATGATGGTACTCGGTTTAAAAGGATTTGCGGTTTCACAGGATTCGCCGGGTTAAAATTCTATTTAAGTAAACTCGCTTCACCTGGTTAACCTCCTTCGCTGGATACCACCTTGATAACACGCTTTCAGGTTAACCTGCAGTGTTAATTGACACTCTAGTGCCATCATTATGCCACTCTAGTGAACCACCTACAGTTGTTTATACATATAACGGATATATGTATATGTTGCAAGAGAGTTAGTCACTAGGTTTGTGTGGCATAAAGCAGGATGCCTCAGCTTGATTGACCTGCAGAATGCCATGTAGTTACAATTATTACACCTACTTAATTTTCTATACGTATAATGCTTTTCATAAACTTAGCAATAATTCAAACATATTGAATAAGGTTAATCCGTGTCTTTCATTTATTTCAGCGCAATTTCTGCGGAATTGTTTAGTGATAATTTCTTAATGATTCAGTTTTAAAATATAAATATAATATAAAATTCGTTTAAATCATCTATTCTAAAAAAATTGTCATAATTTTCCATCACAGTCAGTCTAAGATATTTGTGATTGGTCTTTGCCACTTGGTCTTTGGAGCTTTAATTACTCTCTTATGCTTATTGGCGTTCTTTTTTTGTATTATTTTATCATTTTGACTTACTAAGAAAGATCCTTTACAACAACGAGGCTTTCTTAAAGCTTCTTGTCGGTCTGGAGAACTGAACAGTCTACCCTTGACGATCGCTGGTCGTAAAACGCGAAGAATTTATTTACCACTTTCACTTCGGGGCCAGCGGTGTGAAGTCGGATAGCTGGATATACGTATAGCTGGATAGCTGGTATACGGCGGACAGTTCTTCCTGACCAGCTATCCACTAGAGGGAAATCGTGTCCATTGCCGCTCATTATCCTGATGAT